AGCCTGACAACCAGCAGCCATCTACACCACGCCGATCTTCCCGACCTCGACATCCTCCTCGCTGGCAGGAGACGGGAGAATGGGAAATGCCATGAATGAACATTTAATACTTGTTTTCCTGTTCATGAGTTTCATTTTGTAATGTGTACATTCACAGTCTGACTTTAACATACCATTCCTGGTAAGAAGGGAGTGGAAAGGCAACTGCGCCACTACGTTTCTTTTCGTTTATATACTGTTCCTACTTCTGTACGTGCCATTCCTAGTTTTGGTAATACATGTCCGGCCTCGCCGCGTCTGCATTGGAGCATTGGTGTTTTTGTTTACTGGCCCTAAGTCAGTGTTAAAGTTTTACTTTGTCGAATCCAAAGAAAAACTTTTCAAGGTATGGTCACGAGTGAGTTTAATTTTACGCCGCACTCAGCAGTAATCCAGCTGTATGGCGGCGGTCTGTAAGTAATCGAGTCTGGACAAGACAATCCAGTGATCAACAGCATGAGCATCGATCTACGCAACTGGGATACGATGACATGTGTCAACCCAGTCAGCGAGCCTGACCACCCGATCCCGTTAGTCACCTCTTACGACAAGCATGGGTTACTGAAGATCAATTCTTACCCGGATCTTCACGGGTCGGTATGGTAACGACCAACAGTCTATAAGAAATAAGCCACAACACAAGACGGGGTTCATAAGCATGTTTACACGGTCAGTGGCGACTGTATCCTCCTTGTGCATTGATGCAGGCCAGTCACCTTCGCCTCAATGAGGCGACTAAACGTCCTTGGGAAGATCGTATCATGTCCTAGGAAGGAGTTGGCGGAGTTCATGCAGCGCCGACGTCGTAAAAGTCGCTTCAATTCATCCCAGACCTGTTCATTGGGTGACGAATCAGCCCAGCTAACGTTTTCGCAACGTTATGGAAAGGTTGTAGATTGTAACGTCATGGCACAACGTTGTCACAACGTTAGTATTACGTCATTTTATAACGCTATGTCACAACGTAATAACAACGTTGCAAAATAACGTTGAGGAAGCGTTAAGCTTTGGGCTCCTCACAACGTTAGTATTACGTCATTTTATAACGCTATGTCACAACGTAATAACAACGTTGCAAAATAACGTTGAGGAAGCGTTATGCTTTGGGCTCCTCACAACGTTATAACAACGTTTCTCATAACCTGGTGTCACGACAGCTTTCTGTAAAACGTTTCTGAGATTCTTTCTTCACTATTCAGCTACAGCTTCGGAAAACACACACTGAAACCCAATAAGCAGGTCCAAATGATGCCCCACTGTCCTATGTGAAAACATAAACTTATTTTGCATGATGTCGTGTGTGGTAAATAAAGGTTTTCATTTATGCAACTTGTACCAAAACATTCATCTTCACAAGTGCAATAGTCATTCTGAAATAAGGCTTTGAGTGAAAATGAAATGTACGTTACTGTCCCAACCTGGAAGTACACCAACTTTACTATGATCTGGTTTTATTGCAGCTTCATTCAAAGTTGATTGTACTGTTTTCCTTCATCAACATCATGTGCACTTCACATGCAAGCAACTGTTTTATATCTTGATGAATTTCTTCCAGAGTTAGACTTCAGTTCTTCTATGTCCCACCCTTTGCAGAAATGTACGCTACCCTCACAGTGCGATTCCTTTACAGCCAAATTAGTTATCTATCAAACTCATTAGTCTTTCAAACATAAAGGTGGCATTCATGTTTTTAGGATATTCACAAATTCACATCATTTCAAAACTGCTATATACAGTTATACAGTGTACAAAAAGTCAAATCCGAGAGTAAATGTAACAATGAAATGTACGTTACTGCCTTTTTCTTCTCAAGAATAATTTAACAAATCTTGTAAGATTATATATGTTTATGTAACTTACATGGACTATCAGAATCACAAGTTTCGATTCAAGAACGATTTTAGCTGGTGAGATAATAATTAAATTGATCCAATGTGAAATGTACGTGACCGAAATGTACGTTACCAGTTTGTGCGACACTAACTGAAGGAAGTGTTGCACAGAGGTTTTGTGCAAGGTTCATGAACCAGTACCATGTGGCAAGTCACAGCGTACGTTCAAACTGAGTCGTGAAGACCTAAACCTGGTTCCAGGGAAGTTTGAACATTACAAGTGAAATGTCCAATACCATCTGAAAACAATGTGTATTTGTCAAAACGCCTTGTTAGTTCTCTTTGTTTTATCGTTTTAAACTTGGAATTTACAATTGTCTGTTGGTTTAAAGCCTTTGTTGCCCTCTCCTTGCTACCAGAGTATTTACCTGGCAAAAGCAGATTAACAGGGGGAAAACAACTGGATTATATAACAGATTAAGTTGTGGAGTTCACAAACTAGGAGCATTTCTCTTGTAGTTCTATTTGTTTTATGTATCCCTCATTTGTGTGTTAGACTGTTAAGTGAATCATGATCTGGCGCAATTTATTGATGGGTCTTTTAGTCAGAATACTTCTTTAATTGTTCTTTCCTTTGTCTGGGGGCGGTGGGGTAGCCTAGTGGTTAAAGCGTTGGCTCGTCACGCCGAAGACCCGGGTTCGAATCCCCACATGGGCACAATGAGTGAAGCCCATTTCTGGTGTCCCCCGCCGTGATGTTGCTGGAATATTGCTAAAAGCGGCGTAAAACCAAACTTAGTCAGTTAGTCCTTTGTCTGTAGAAAAAAATGAGGTATCACAAGGTCAGGCCATAACGTTGTGACGACGTAACTGGGAGTCCACAGAATAACGTTGTAACAACGAAAGCATATAACGTCGTGACAACGTTGTGATAACGTGAAATTCTTAGCTGGGAGAGGACCTTGCGAGACAGGGCAACACATTAACATTGTTCAAATTAAGATATTAATGTACAGCTCAACAAATGTGTGGTCTGACGTTATTCTGTTGAACCGTCACTCCAGAACTCAAACAAAGGTTGGTCTGACGTTAATACGTTTTCCTGTTGAATCGTCACTCCAGGGCAGTTCTGTTGCGAAAACGGTAAAACAGATCTTTGAAAACCTCGTCTCGGTACGTCACAGCAGTCAAGTTCCGCTCAACTGGCGACCTTGCTGTAACCTTTATCCAGCGTTCACCTTAGACTAACGCTTAGTTTCTGAATATATATATATAATTTTTAATGAAACAAATAAACCCATTTAAACTGAAAAGGAGCCCTAGGGAGACCTGAACAAGGGGAAATCTAGACTTGCTTCATTTAGGGTTTCAGCACTGCACTGAGGGCTTGGCTGTAGGGAAAATAATGTGGTTCAGGGACTGTGAGGCAGGCTACGTTCACCTGTAGATGTGTCCTGACGTGAGCTTGATGAAGAAGGTAACGTGACTCATTGGTGAAAGGAACTCTTCTCTACTCACGTGCTTAACTGGACAAGTCGACGTCAGAATTGAGCACGGCTTCTTGCACGGATGCCGTGGACGTCGTAAAAAATGTTCGCTCCGATACACTTCCGTTGCCAGGTATGGCATGGGCTGTCAGGGATGCCGACATACTTTAAACTCTTCCTCTGTCTACCCGTGAAGATCCGGGCTAGAATTGATCTTCAGTATCCCATGCTTGTCGTAAGAGGCGACTACCGGGATCGGGTTGTCAGGCTCGCTGACTTCGTTGACACATGTCATCGTATCCCAATTGCGTAGATCGATGTTCATGCTGTCGATCACGGGATTGTCTGGTCCAGACTCGATTATTTACAGACCGCCGCCATACAGCCGGATTATTGCTGAGTGCGGCGTGAAATTAATTTCACTCACTCACTCACTCACACTTCCTCTGTCATCTTTCCACAAGACGTAGCATGTCGGACATGTTCGAGAACAATCGTTATTCTGACTTTTGCATGTCTTAAAACGCCGAAAACACGGGTTCGATTCCCCACGGGTATATTATGTGAAGCCTATTTCTGGTGTCAACCGCCGTGATATTGCTGGAATATTGCTGAAACGGTGTACAACAATATTCACTACATTGAATGCCCGTGATAAGCTTCTGGTTATCGGATCTTTTAATGATACTGGTGTTTTTGATCGATTATGTCTTGTTTCTAGCATATTTCGTGCTTGGTTGGGTTTCTTCGACCATTTCAAAAAGGGGCGGTGGGGTAGACTAGTGGTTAAGGCATTCGCTCGTTACGCCGAAGGCCCGGGTTCGATTCCCCACATGGGTACAATGAACATTGAAACTTTTTGTAACTCTGTTTTGCACAATTCCTCTTTGAAGCTTAAGTATGCACTTAGCGCCCAGACGCCGATGTTCATGAAGCCGTGGTGATTAGCTGGCGTTAGTCACAGTTACAGAAAATATTTTTTGACATCTTAAAGTTAAACACTCATGGTGTGCTGTTTACATTAAAAACATGAGTGTGATGAATGAGTGAGTGAGTGTTAGTTTTACGCCTCTTTTAGCAATATTCCAGCAATATCACGGCGGGGGACACCAGAAACGAGCTTCACGCATTGTACCCATGAAGGAATAGAACCCGGGTCTTCGGCGTGACGAGCGAACGCTTTAACCACTAGGCTACCCCACCGCCCCCTTGATCTAGGATAATAAACCAAAGGCCATTATGGGATCTGACCTAGACTGACAAACGAACGGCCTGATCTAGGATAATGAATACAGGCCGTTATTGGGTTTCTCAGGAATTCAAACCCAGACCAATGTTCTTGACAGAAGCATAAAAGTATAAATCGTATTCTCTGTCAATAGGTAGCATTATTTGTCCATAATAACCTACTACCTTAGAAGGTCAGGAGGAATCGTATTATTCAAAGTTCGTATTGGTGTACTTGAGAAAACCCGTCATTTGTACCTTCTGGACAATACATCAATGTCCTAGACAAATCTTGAACAGAAAGTCATGGTTCTGCTGGTGACAGATTAAGCATGGCTGGATATAGTCCGTGCATCAGGCACATATACAAAGAATGAGGGTACTCTGTAAGTAGACTATCCCACCAATACTCTTGTTATCCACCAACAGTTCTCAGCAAAGAGCAAGCTGGTGATACGTGTTCTTGTGAAGGTCTTGGGAAGGTGAGATGTTCTCCCTAGCTCCGTGTATTTGGTATAATGATGTTATTAGGATAGATATAGGTTCTTGTTGGTGTAACCTATTGATGAAAGTATTTAATTTATATTTGATATTTCACAGATATTTAATTATGCTAAGATAAACTTACTCTGTAACGTCACTATAGGTCAGGAAGGAACGAGGTGTTCTCTCTAGCGCTGTGTAATTGACATACTAATGTATTAAGATGGAAATTAGGTTCTTATTGATGAAACTTTATATATATGTATGTATTTAATTGATATTTGATATTTCACATATATTTTAATTGTGAAATAAGATTCCGCTGTTAACACCAGTATATATCAGGAATGAGTGGATGTTTTGTACCGTGTTTGATGAGATTATGACTTCATGCTATGTGCATGTGCCTTTATGACATATAATATGCACCAATTCATCATTAATTCCATTTGTAAGTTTTATTACTGAGTGAGCAGTGAGTTCTTTTGGTTTGTAACCGTGAAGGTCCGGGTTAGAATATTAATCTTCAGTAACCCATGCTTGTCGTAAGAGGCAACTAACGGGATCGGGTGGTCAGGCTCACTGACTTGGTTGACACATGTCATCGGTTCCCAACTGCGCAGATCGATGCGCATGCTGTTGCTCACTGGATTGTCTGGTCCAGACTCGATTATTTACAGACCGCCGCCATATAGCTGGAATATTGCTGAGTGCGGAGTAAAACTAAACTCCCTCACTCACATATAGCAGTTCATCGTGCGAGTACGAATATATTATGATCATAAATCATTCTTATTTAGCAAAGATACCAAATGTAAGTTCATCCTCATACGTCTCGATAAATCTCCACTACTGGTGGAGATCTATCGGAACGTATACCTAGGAGATTATCGAGGATGATGTAAGCTGTGCACACGCAATGGTACAAGTCAATTGTTTGAATTGACAAAAACGGCACCATATGGTACACGTCACAATAGGAACATTAAGTGATTGAGAATGATCTTTGTCATTCGTGTATTTTATTTACATATTTGTTAATATTATTCTGACAGAAGGATCAACTTTATGTTTTTGCCTGATACCGCCTAAAACAAGTCGTATTAACTTGCACGCATCTGCATATTGGTGGATATATTTCTGAAGTAACGGTAAAATATGACTCTTTATATATCCTATGATCAGTATCATTACATCTTTAAAAACATAACTTTTTTTAACATAACATAACGGTTTTATGTTTCTGAAAGATGAAACTTGTCTCATGCATTCAATGATCTACGGCTTCAACAGAGCCAGCAGTGGCATGTAGAAGTCCCTCAGATATATAATACAAGCTGTAAGGGCGGCGGGGTAGCCCAGTGGTTAAAGCGTTCGCTCGTTATGCCTAAGACCCGGGTTCGATTCCCCAATGGGTACATTGTGTGACACCCATTTCTGGTGTCCCCCGCCGTGATATTGCTGGAATAAGGCTAAAAGCGGCGTGAAACTATACTCACTCACTCATTACAAGCAGTAATATTAAACAAGGACGATGCTTTCCTCTTTGTTCTCGGGTGTGTTTATCAGTGTCACTGGTCTAGTCCTTAGATACAAGCAAATGTTACCGACAGCTTCGAGGTTTTCCTTGAAAACGTTTCAGTGAAAACTTTTGTTTGTTGTTCAACGCCGCAATCAGCAATACTCCAGCTATATGATGGCGGTCTGTAAATAATCGAGTCTGGACCTGACAATCCAGTGATCAACATCATGAGCATCGATCTGCACAATTGGGATATGCATCCCCCCAAAATATGTTTCAGTTAATAGGTATTTGGTTGTAGTGAGTGAGTATGGTTTTACGCCGCTTTTAGCAATATTCCAGCAATATCACGGCGGGGGACACCAAGAAATGGGCTTCATACATTGTACCCATGTGGGGAATCGGACCCGGGTCTTCGGCGTGACGAGCAAAAACTTTAACCACTAGGCTACCCCACCGCCCATTGTTATAGTGAGTGAGTATTGTTGAACGTCGCCCCGGCAGTGGTGCAGCTATTCGCGGCGATCATTTAGTTGTGTCCTGTAGAATTTATTTATAATGGTTCTCAAAGTGACATCAATTGTACTTATATTGATCATAACGATGTTGAAAGTGCGTTGTGCTATTTATTCATGCATACGATGCATGGTTCCGTTGTCAAAGGTGATCGTAACTCTCATGCTGATGAAACGCAGTTATTAACTGCTAACGTGTAACCTGGACTTACGACAGTCTTAGCGATTAGGTGATCGGAACTCACATACCTTAACATAACTTGTGGCAATCGTAATCTTAAGGTTGTCGTAACTCACATACCTAAACATTGACTTACGTCAGTCGTGATCTTAAGGTGGTCGTAACTCACATACAATACCATAACCTGCGACAGTCGTAATCGTAAGGTGGTCGTACCATACCTTAAACCTGACTTACGGCAGTCGTAGCGCTAAAGTGATCTTTATTCGCATAACTTAACATAACCTGCGACAGTCGTAATCGTAAGGTGATCGTAACGGTCATGTCTTAGCATTCACTTTCGTCAGTCGAAGAACAAAAGTGATCCTAACTCGAAAACATTAACACAAACTTACGCCAGTCGTGGTCTTAAGGTTGCTTGTACGACGTCACCCATGACTAAATGCTGACGTGTTTGGTTTCAGGCTTCTGGGCCTAGATTTTCGAAGCACTCTTAGCGCTAAGATAGTCGTAAGTTAATGTTAATATACTTAAAATCTAGGAAAATCTAGGCCCTGGTTAACAAAATGTTATTGCTATTTCATTTGTCCGGGCTGAGTTTCGCTCTAGGTACAGATGTTCAAACGCAATTAAAACGTAATTACGCATCATCACGGACGACATGATGCAACATCTGTTGATGCTTCTGTTGTCTATTTCCATATACACTACCCACCAAAGGTTTAGACTCACTAGTGTAAATGTAGCCACCTACTTCAGGCAACTGTTCTAAACTAGATTTTGCAAAATATTCCATACTGTTTAAAGGTGCTGTTTACACATGAACTGATGTATTGTAAAACAAATTGAAACGTTGAAAACATTATTGTCATGAGTTCAATACATGATGAAACTCAGTGAATTGGCGAAGTCTTAACAAAACTTCACACCAGCTGTTCACATGCACGATATTTGCACATGCTTTTCAGCAATTTGATGCATGATCTTCATGCAATTCATTTGCATAAGGGTTGCAGTTGGTTCCCTCAAGTTAGTGGAGAAATTCATCTTCGATGTAAATATGTATATATACATAATAATAAATAATAATGTGGGTATTTATATAGCGCTACATCCAGGTACTAATACCCGCTCATGGCGCTACAATACTATAGGAGAAAAAAATTGTTAAAACTATTTACAGAGAGACAATTGAACATAGAAAGTCTAGTAATAGGCAAGACGAAAAAATGGGTTTTTAGAGACGATTTAAATATGTCCAAAGATTCAGCATTCTTGATGTGAGTGGGCAAATTGTTCCAGGGACTGGCGGCTGCGTGTTGGAATGACATATTCTATTTTCATGATGCGTTTCTTTTTTGGGAGAGTATATATATACATAACATATAGTGATTGTTAGAGTCTAAACTTTTGGTGGGTAGTATACATTACTCTATAATGATACAATTACTGACTGTAGGTCCATTTAGCCATGTTTTTCTTTGAGAGTAACATTGACTAAACAAAGGTTGTCCATTGAGTGAGTGAGTGAGTGAGTGAGTGAGTTCAGTTTTACGCCGCTTTTAGCAATATTCCAGCTATATCACGGCGGGGGACACCAGAAATGGGCTTCACATATTGTACCCATGTGGGGAATCGAACCCGGGTCTTCGGCGTGACGAACGAACGCTTTAGCCACTAGGCTACCCCACCGCCCCGGTTGTCCATAGACGCGATAGAGATACCTGTATATACCTTCTCTGTCTTTAAAAAATAATTATATTTGACCTTAACGACTTGTTTCAGTGAATCTTACACGCATAGGCTAGCTTGGACATTTTGTATTGCTACAGGATATGTAGACAAGGGCAATACCGATTGCCCCGCCACATGTTTGTGAAGCAATCGAAAAGCCATAATCTTGAAAGATAATACCTTGTCAAAACAGAGTACCCTAAAGTCACCCTGTGACAATTGTATCAGTGTTCTGTAAAATGGAGTTACTAATGAGGCAATGTGTATATATACTCTCCCAAAAAAGAAACGCATATAGGAATTTCAACTGTATTTTTATGTTTATTTTGAAACATCTTGTAGGCTTTATGAGTCAATGAAATATAGCGAAATTGCACACTGGGAATGCAGACTTATCCGTCTTTGGCACCAACTCGCGGAAAGTCAGTTTGAGTGTCACATGGAGACGTGTGTGGTGGCGCTGAAGTCAATACCTCGTGTGACCACCGTGGGCATCAAGAACTGCACGGCAAAACCTTTTGTAAAATGAATCACGTTTTAATTCATTGCTACATGAAATTGCTATTTTCATGATGCGTTTCTTTTTTTGGAGAGTATATTAAATATCCCACTTACACAATATCATGAAACTGTGTATTTTAACTATCAATATTTGAGTCATCATCCGTAAACACATATAGTTCAACACATGACATAATCTACCTGTGCAACTGTAACATCCATTCCAGTCAGAGTGAGTGAGTGAGTGAGTGAGTGAGTATGGTTTTATGCTGCTTTTAGCAATATTCCAGCAATATCAACACCAGCAATGGGCTTCACTCATTGTACCCATGTGGTGATCGAACCCGGGTCTTCGGCGTGGCGAGCAAACGTTTTAACAACTAGGCTACCCTTAGGCTAAGCCAAATGGTCCTCGACATCCGCAAAGAGTTCCATTATCCACAACACGTATAGTTTGTGGAATGTTCCTCCTACCTGTGTGACCACAGCTTGGCTTTCGACTTACGTTGCAGTGTTGGGCAAACCAGGAGCTGGTACCAAGGGTTCGAACCATGGTCCGACCCTATTAATTTCCACGTCTATCAGCTCCATACCCTTGCTCGAGGGTTTCATCGAAGTATTAAACGTTACGGACCTCGGTCACGATCGACAAAGCATTCGTAACGTTACGACTTATCGTAACCTTAAAAAAGAGAGTTTTTATGAATGTCAACTTCTTTATTATGAGTTGTTCCTCATAATAAAGAAGTTGACATCCATAAAAATAAAAACTCCTTCCTTACGTATATCACTTCTAAATGTCATTTAAAGACCTATCGTAACTTACAATTTATCACTCCCGTTACGAATGGCATAGTGCTACGAATGTTTTGTTGATAGGGTCTCTGGATTACTTCGCGCGTTACTTCTTCATAAGACCCGTGAAGATCCGGGGTAGAAAAGGTCTTCAGCAACCCATGCTTGCCACAAAAGGCGACTATGCTTGTCGTAAGTGGCGACTAACGGGATCGGGTGGTCAGGCTCGCTGACTTGGTTGACACATGTCATCGGTTCCCAATTGTGCAGATCGATGCTCATGCTGTTGATCACGGGATTGTTTGGTCCAGACTCGATTATTTACAGACTGCTGCCATATAGCTGGAATATTGCTGAGTGCGGCGTAAAACTAAACTCACTCACTCACGTCTTCATAAATCGGCTGACACGACGTGATTGTACTGGAACACTGGGTGAGGAGGCGTAAAAACAACAATCTTACTCACTCACTCACTCAAAGTTTCATTGAGAAAGGTTGTCTCCACTCACGTGTTTTACTGGAGACGTCGACGTCGATGTTCCGGCGTCAGAATTTAGCAGGTCTTCTTCCACGGTTGCCGTAGACGCGTTGACGTTGTAAAAATGTTCCTTCAGATACACTTCCGTGGCCAGGTAATGCATGGCGTGTCAGGGACGTAAACACAACAATCTTACTCACTCACTCACTCAAAGTTTCATTGAGAAAGGTTGTCTCCACTCACGTGCTTTACTGAAGTAGTGAGTGAGTGAGTATGGTTTTACACCGCTTTTAGCAATATTCCAGCAATATCACGGCGGGGGACACCAGAAATGGGCTTCACACAATGTGCCCATGTTGGGATTCGAACCCGGGTCTTCGGCGTGACGAGCCACCGCCCCCTTTACTGAAGGGTCTTCTTCCACGGTTGCCGTAGACGCGTTGACGTTGTAAAAATGTTCTTTCAGACACAATTCCGTGGCGTGGCATGGCGTGTCAGGGACGTAAACACAACAATCTTACTCACCACTCACCAAAGTTTCATTGAGAAAGATTATCTCCACTCACGTGCTTTACTGAAGTAGTGAGTGAGTGAGTATGGTTTTACACCGCTTTTAGCAATATTCCAGCAATATCACGGCGGGGGACACCAGAAATGGGCTTCACACAATGTGCCCATGTTGGGATTCGAACCCGGGTCTTCGGCGTGACGAGCCAACGCTTTAACCATTAGGCTACCCCACCACCCCCTTTACTGAAGTAGTCGACGTCGATGTTCCGGCGTCAGAATTTGAAGGGTCTTCTTCCACGGTTGCCGTAGACGCGTTGACGTTGTAAAAATGTTCTTTCAGACACAATTCCGTGGCGTGGCATGGCGTGCCAGGGACGTAAAAACAACAATCTTACTCACTCACTCACTCAAAGTTTCATTGAGAAAGGCTGTCTTTCACAATGTGAAACTAATATTTCACCTCAAGATTGCATTATGTGATTGTAATATTCACTGAATATTAAATGCTCATATTTCATTGTTAGTTTCAGAATGGGCGCACTAACGTTTTTCACTGCCGCTCTGGTTGTCATGGCAACGCTTGTGATCGGACGAAATGGTAAATTTGGGTTGAAACTGAAATATTCAGTAGTATCTGTGCATTTGAAGCTATAGAGTTAACAATTCATACTTTGGCGAGGTGATTACTCAGTGAAGGGTTGAACTTTTATTGATGGCACTTGGGAGTGGATTAAGGACTCTATGCATAGTATTATCAACAACGAAGAACGTATCGTTTCGTATCTGCCTTGCAGATTTCAGAAATTGCCCTGCAGATTTCAGTAACCGCCCTGCAGATTTCAATAACTGCCCTGCAGATTTCAGTAACTGCCCTGCAGATTTCAGTAACTGCCCTGCAGATTTCAATAACTGCTTTGCAGATTTCAGAAATTGCCCTGCATATTTCAGTAACCCCCCTGCAGATTTCAATAACTGCTTTACAGATTTCAGTAACTGCCCTGCAGATTTCGATAACTGCCTTGCAGATTTCAGTAACTGCCCTGCAGATTTCAGTAACTGCCCTGCAGATTTTAATAACTGCCCTGCAGATTTCAGTAACTGCCCTGCAGATTTCAATAACTGCTTTGCAGATTTCAGAAATTGCCCTGCATATTTCAGTAACCCCCCTGCAGATTTCAATAACTGCTTTGCAGATTTCAGTAACTGCCCTGCAGATTTCAATAACTGCCTTGCAGATTTCAGAAATTGCCCTGCAGATTTCAGTAACTGCCCTGCAGATTTCAGTAACTGCCCTGCAGATTTCAATAACTGCCTTGCAGATTTCAGAAATTGCCCTGCAGATTTCAGTAACCGCCCTGCAGATTTCAGTAACTGCCCTGCAGATTTCAGTAACTGCCCTGCAGATTTCAATAACTGCCCTGCAGATTTCAGAAATTGCCCTGCAGATTTCAGTAACTGCCCTGCAGATTTCAGTAACCGCCCTGCAGATTTCAATAACTGCCTTGCAGATTTCAGTAACTGCCCTGCAGATTTCAATAACTGCCCTGCAGATTTCAGAAATTGCCTCCCAGATTTCAGTAACCGCCCTGCAGATTTCAATAACTGCCTTGCAGATTTCAGTAACTGCCCTGCAGATTTCAGTAACTGCCCTGCAGATTTCAGTAACTGCCCTGCAGATTTCGGTCGACTCAGGAGTTTGCAAGACATGTGTTCTGTCAACTTGGCGATAGGTGTATATGTGCAGGTGGCATGTCCCACTGAAGGTTTTGAAGGACCGGCGTGCGTAAATCCGCGTTATATCTTAAACGATGGAATGGTTACATTGTGTGCGTGTGACATAAAAGAAAAAGTAAACATATATCAATGGAAATTTTCATTCATCGATTTTATTTATATTGGAGGCCACGTATGTCATGGGCTAGACCCAAGGAATGCCGAACACGTCCCAATGTTTAGTTTTTTTGTAAACATAGATGCAAAAAAATGTCTGCATTTTTAACCGATCAAATGCCACGTAATCACTTTCAAGTTATTTATTACAAAATGACCCTGACCTGTTAATATAATTTGCAAAGTTTAAAACAACTGTAATGTCGTGTAAACGTCTTCATACTATTTCTATTTTTGCATAAACAGATAGCAAAATTAAATCTAATCACAAAATCCATATGTGTGTAATTTAAACCTTTTCACATCATCTGTTGTCTCCATTGACAAACAGAGGCATGTCAATGTAACCGTGAAGACGGAACGACCGTTGACATCGGCGACACCATCGACAACGCCTGCGGCACTGCCGTTTGCACCGACGTCGGCGACGGCAAGTGCCAGTTTACGCCCGGGTCTGACATGAGCAGCAAAGGTAATATAGAGAGCAAACGTTTACCTCTTTTCGTCAATGTCCGATTGTGAAATATAAGTAATAAAATAGTTGCTGGTACCAAATTTCACACCTACTCAATAATTTGGATTCCATAGCACTGTAAAGTACGGTTATAAGGAACTCAATGGGGCAACCTATTTTAATTATTCATTACCGACCCTTGAATTGATCTTCAGTAACCCATGCTTCTCGTAAGAGGCGACTAACGGGATCGGGTGGTCAGGCTCGCTGACTTGGTGACACATGTCATCGTATCCCAATTGCGTAGATTGATGTTCATGCTGTTGATCACTGGATTGCCTGGTCGATTATTTACAGACCGCCGCCATAACCATAGCCATAGCTGGAATATTGCTTAGTGCGGCGTAAAACTGAACTCACTCACGCACTATTCATTACCGTCGTCTCTTGTATGCAATTGTTGCCGTCGTGTCTTTTAGATCAATTATTCATAAATTTTGATTCAGTTTTTTCTGTATACAGCGGCGTCAAACCCAATTCACTCACTCACTATAAACGATACATATACGAGTTAATACGATGATGTCGTTGTAGACTGCACGACGCCGGAGGGCGTCTGCATCCGCAGCTTCAGGGCGCCCCACTTGAACGTCAACACCTGCAAGAAATACATTTGTATCCTAGGTTCGGTTAAACCACCACAAACATGTGAGTACTGACTAATAGAGGTAGAGGGAAATGTCGAATGCTCCCGAATCTGCAGACATGTAGGTAGCGGAGAAGCCGAGTACGCCTGCATGTATTGACGTTGATGGTGAAAAGCCGAATGCATGGATGTGGCGGAAACAGCCGAATGCACCCGAACATTCAGATGCATGTTGTTAGTGGAATAACCCGCGTTAACCCGAATGTTTCCAGTCACATTTAGATAGTTTTCGTGGCAAAGTTGTGTTGTTCTGGGAAAGCAGAATAGCGACTCGTTCCCCTACAGCCTGGTTCCCTGGGTCTGTTGCGCCTGCGCTACGCTCCGACACTCAGTGTCAACAGACACTTAACAGACCCAGGGAACCAGGCTGGTTCCTCTAATGTGGCAGTTTTGGGATTGGGTTTCGTGTGGAAGTATTTGATCATATGCGCATTCTGATTGATTCGTCATGACATTCGTGGTGACATATCATGTAGATAGCGGAATAAACCGAGTTAACACGAATGTACTATCAAGCAAGCAGGTAGCGGAATAAGCCAGACAAAGTCAAACGCCTAGACCGCTCAGCCACCGCGGCTTCCACAAAATGGAAGTCGGACAACTGGTAGTCTAGACTGCGGACTTTGTGTACCCCTCTGATAAGTGTTAATTGGCACGGCTCCCACGGCCGAAAGCTATGAAATACACAATGCCATTTTAGATGGCCATTCGAACACAATGCCATTCGAACCCACCCTGGCAATTAGGTGCCTGACTCTGAGGGTGTGGGTTCGAATCTCGGATGGGACTCAACCCAACAAAAGTACTAGAATCTGTACTTTACAAAGAAAGTGTAATCCCAAATATAACATATGTTACATTTGACCACTTTCTAAGTGTATTTAAACGCTGAATGTGTTGTTAATGAGGATGATATTCTCGCCCACAGTGACTATATTGTACAGTACTGCATGGCGACGTTGCATATGTTGTTGATGAGGCTGAAATTCTCGCCTGAATAACTGTGCAGCTTTGCATTGGGCGGATATTTTCGCCCTCAGTGATCATGGTGTTGTACAGTAAGCTTCACCAATGCCATGTTGTTAATGGAACTGGAACTGGTATTCGCACTCTCAGCTTCTATGATACTGTGTGGTAATATAACTAATTAGCATAAATATATCATCTTTTTTATGTTGTTAATGAGGCTGATATTCTCACCTGCAGTGTGTTACAAGGATGGTCAATGTCAAGCTAATGTACAGCCGGAGACGATCAATGGCGAGGATTGCTCCTGTAGAGTGAACCTGGACAGCGGCCGGGAGGAATGGGGGTGTGGATCATTTAAATAAAAGTTAAATTTTGGACCTGTTACATTGAAAATACCCATACTTGTGTACGTAAATGAGCGTTCTGCTCGTCACTATCAAGAATAAATAAACATGCAGACTTGGTTCAATGTTTTATCGGTTCAGAAACAGAACATCCGATTAAAGAACATCTGTTTTACCTATATTACTGACTGACTGAGTTTAGTTTTACGCCACTTTTAGCAATATTCCAGCAATATCACGGCGGGGGACACCAGAAATGGGCTTCACACATTGTGCCCATGTGGGGAATCGAACCCGGGTCTTCGGCGTGACGAGCCAATGCTTTAACCATTAGGCTACCCCACCGCCCCTTTACCTATATTAAAGACCCAGTCCAATCGACCACAAACCCGCGAAGATCCGGGTTAGAATTGATCTTCAGTAACCCATGCTTGTCGTAGGAGGCGACTAACGGAATCGGGTGGTCAGACTCGCTGACTGGGTTGACTGGTCCAGACTCGATTATTTACAGACCGAAGCAATATAGCTGTAAAATTGCTGAGTGCGGCGTAAAACTAAACTCACTCACTCACTTGCTGGCCTGTGACAGAGTTTCTATACTGATTGCAACTATAGTCGATAGGCGAGTGTTTCTGGCACTGGTGTTCGTGTGAACAGCAAACCAAAATGATCCATTTTCAGATGACCAAGCTATTGATCACTGGATTGTCTGGTCCAGACTGGATTAGTTACAGATCCCCTTCATATAGCTGGATTATTGATGCGTGCGGCGTTAAACTACAAACAAACAAACTTAAAAACACATTTGACAGACATCATCTGATGGGTGTAATTTGATAAACACCCTCAGTAAATTAAATCTGGTAAATAGGCTGAACAGAATCTGTCTAGTAAACACACTTAACTGAATGCACAATGCCATTAGAAAATGGTCAAATGTAACACATGTTATATTTGGGATTACACTTTCTCAGTCAAGTGAGGTGAGATTGGGTTTAACGTCGTGCTTGAGAATATTTCACTCATATGACGACGTGCATGCGTGTGTATGTGTATGTGCGGCTACTTGTACTAGCCCAGACTGAAGCTGGTTTTATAGTGCTAGCCCACTGAGATACCATGCCGCAGTGAAGCATGAATACCCCACTCAGACACATTAAACTGACTCCGAGACGACCAGTCCTTGTTGTACCCTTAAATGCCGAGCGCCAGGCAGGGACCAACAAGTACCATATTTTAACGTCTTTTGGTATGACGCGGTCGGGAATCGAACCCGCGACCTTCCGCTCTCCGGGCGGACGCTCCAAATACTACACCACGGAGGCGGTCCTCAGTCAAGTACAGTTTCTCGTACTTTTGTTGGGCTAAGTCCCATCCGGGATTCGAACCCACACCGTCAGAGTCAGGCACCTAATCGCCACCACACAAAGTCAGCCGTCTAACACACCCAGCCAGGAAAAGTTCTGAATTTATATTCTGGTTATGTCCGAATTTATGTCAAACGAACAAATTGGTATGACAACGTTGTATATGTAACAGTACTTTTTGGGGGTTGAGTCCCATCCAGGATTCGAACCCTCAGAGTCTGGCACCTAATCGCCAGCACACAAAGCCACACTACTATTTACGTTGTATATGTTGTTCATGAGGCTGACATTCTTGCCCACAGAGACTGTGATGTACAGCATGATATGATAACGTTGTATATGTTGTTCATGAGGCTGATATTCTTGCCCACAGAGACTGTGATGTACAGCATGATATGATAACTTTGTATATGTTGTTCATGAGGCTGATATTCTCGCCCACAGTGACTGTGATGTACAGCATGATATGACAACGTTGTATTTGTATTTCATGAGGCTAATATTCTCGCCCACAGTGCCTGTGATGTACAGCATGATATGACAACGTTGTATATGTCGTTCGTAAGGCTGATATTCTCGCCCACAGTGACTGTGATGTAAATCATGATATGACAACGTTGTATATGTTGTTCCTGAGGCTGATATTCTCGCCCACAGTGACTGTGATGTACAGCATGATATGACAACGTTGTATATGTTGTTCGTGAGGCTGATATTCTCGCCCACAGTGACTGTGATGTACAGCATGATATGACAACGTTGTATATGTTGTTCATGAGGCTGATATTCTCGCCCACAGTGACTGTGATGTACAGCATGATATGACAACGTTGTATATGTTGTTCGTGAGGCTGATATTCTCGCCCACAGTGACTGTGATGTACAGCATGATATGACAACGTTGTGTGTATATGTTGTTCATGAGGCTGATATTCTCGCCCACAGTGACTGTGATGTACAGCATGATATGACAACGTTGTATATGTTGTTCGTGAGGCTGATATTCTCGCCCACAGTGACTGTGATGTACAGCATGATATGACAACGTTGTATATGTTGTTCATGAGGCTGATATTCTCGCCCACAGTGACTGTGATGTACGGCATGATATGACAACGTTGTATATGTATTTCATGAGGCTGATATTCTCGCCCACAGTGACTGTGATGTACAGCATGATATGACAACGTTGTGATTTCATGAGGCTGATATTCTCGCCCACAGTGACTGTGATGTACAGCATGATATGACAACGTTGTATATGTTGTTCGTGAGGCTGATATTCTCGCCCACAGTGACTGTGATGTACAGCATGATATGACAACGTTGTATATGTTGTTCATGAGGCTGATATTCTCGCCCACAGTGCCTGTGATGTACAGCATGATATGACAACGTTGTATATGTCGTTCGTGAGGCTGATATTCTCGCCCACAGTGACTGTGATGTAAATCATGATATGACAACGTTGTATATGTTGTTCATGAGGCTGATATTCTTGCCCACAGTGCCTCTGATGTACAGCATGATATGACAACATTGTATATGTATTTCATGAGGCTGATATTCTCGCCCACAGTGACTGTGATGTACAGCATGATATGACAACATTGTATATGTATTTCATGAGGCTGATATTCTCGCCCACAGTTACTGTGATGTACAGCATGATATGACAACGCTGTATATGTTGCTCATGAGGCTGATATTCTCGCCCACAGTGCCTGTGATGTACAGCATGATATGATAACGTTGTATATGTTGTTCATGAGGCTGATATTCTCGCCCACAGTGCCTGTGATGTACAGCATGATATGACAACGTTGTATATGTTGTTCATGAGGCTGATATTCTCGCCCACAGTAACAGTGATGTACAGCATGATATGACAACGTTGTATATGTTGTTCATGAGGCTGATATTCTCGCCAACAGTGACTGTGATGTACAGCATGATATGACAACGTTGTATATGTTGTTCGTGAGGCTGATATTCTCGCCCACAGTGACTGTGATGTACAGCATGATATGACAACGTTAACGTTGTATATGTTGTTCGTGAGGCTGATATTCTCGCCCACAGTGCCTGTGATGTACAGCATGATATGACAACGTTGTATATTATATGTTGTTCATGAGGCTGATATTCTCGCCCACAGTGACTGTGATGTACAGCATGATATGACAACGTTGTATATGTATTTCATGAGGCTGATATTCTCGCCCACAGTGACTGTGATGTACAGCATGATATGATAACGTTGTATATGTTGTTCATGAGGCTGATATTCTCGCCCACAGTGACTGTGATGTACAGCATGATATGACAACGTTGTATATGTATTTCATGAGGCTGATATTCTCGCCCACAGTGCCTGTGATGTACAGCATGATATGACAACGTTGTATATGTTGTTCATGAGGCTGATATTCTCGCCCACAGTGCCTCTGATGTACAGCATGATATGACAACGTTGATACATATGTTGTTCATGAGGCTGATATTCTCGCCCACAGTAACTGTGATATACAGCATGACATGACAGCGTTGTATATGTTGTTCATGAGGCTGATATTCTCGCCCACAGTGCCTCTGATGTACATCATGATATGACAACGTTGTATATGTTGTTCATGAGGCTGATATTCTCGCCCACAGTGCCTCTGATGTACAGCATGATATGACAACGTTGTATATGTATTTCCTGAGGCTGATATTCTCGCCCACAGTGACTGTGATGTACAGCATGATATGACAACGTTGTATATGTTGTTCATGAGGCTGATATTCTCGCCCACAGTGACTATAATGTACAGTATATGGTATGACAATGTCTTATATGTTGTTTAGCGTCATTGATTAGACTTTGCATACATTTATGACGGCTACCCCCGATGGGGCAGGATACGCTCACCTTTTCGCGAACACCTGGTATCATCCCTATTTGATAGTTATTTATAAACGCATGCTCCGTCATCGTATCTTATAGTGTCAGTCACTGGATTGTCTGGTCCAGTCTCGATTATTTACAAGCCGTAACATTGCTGGGTGCAGCGTTAACCAAACAAACAAACACATGCTCAAAATATAGTCGAAATTATGCAATCGACTCTGCATTTATCGAAGATTTCTTATGGACGTCGCAAGTTTTTGTCGCTTTTTATATATAATGTACGAACAGAGTGGCATTCGGGATCAACAAGGACACTGTCCTTGAAGTTAAATCTGTTCAAATCAAATTAAAATTTTCAAACTACCAACCATAAGAACATATATGTGCGCTGGCCATATATTTGACGTTATTTGAAATGTCATTTATACCAAGTTCTTTCAAGCGTCATCAGTACCAGTTTGACCTTTTGTCTTTTTCTAACGAAGACCAGTGAACGCTAAGTGAAATGGGAAGCCATTTGTGTCATTTCATATCGGATCCTCAGCTTCAAGTACCCATTAAAAAATCGTGATTCAGTGTACATGACTAAATAATGTCCATCACCGTATGTGCAAAATATCCATTTCAATCAGATACAAACGAGTCACAGTGAAGTCGTAGAGTTGTATTTTGGTAGATATCTTGGAATATTTGTACCTCCCCATTGTTGTACACAACCCAAATAGTCCACCAAAGAGTGAGTGAGTTTGGTGTTATGCCGTTTTAAGCAATATTCCAGCAATATCACAGCGGGGGACACCAGAAATGGGCTTCACACATTGTACCCATGTGGGGAATCGAACCCGGGTCTTTACCCTTTACCCTTTAACTACTTGGCTACCCCATGGGCCCTTAAGTATTATGAAATGAAGTCTAGCGATCGCGTGTGGTATTTCGTATGCCCGGTGATTTGTATGGTTACACGAGTGAGTGAGCGAGTTTAGTTTTGCGCCGCTTTTAGCAATATTACTTCGCGGGACACAAGAAATGGGCGATTGATGAGAAGACGGGTGATGGGATGATCTGTCAATCGGGGCGATCCGAGACTCGGACACAGCCATGGTTCTGACCGACCCAAGGGACGCAACTCTCTTTGGCAAAATTCACCTCCGATGAAATGGTCATCCGTGCCTACCACGGGTCGGAAGACGTTTTGGGTGATCGTGCCTCAGTAGGACTCTCAACCTGGGAATCAGTCATCCGTACTCCCTGATGATCCAGTAGCTACGTGAAGGAATCTCAGAAGATTCCACCATGACACCGAAGTGTACTTAATGATCACTGCCCAAAGTATATCGCAGACGATAATTGAAAGTTTAATTGGTGTTCGGGCAACTGGGCCCATTTACACCTTGCCCATCATATAGGTTTGCTAAGTTTTCAAACTTTTATAAAGAAATAAGGCTGCCACACGCTAGGGTCTGAAAAAGAAGCGTCAATAAAATATGTGAAATATCTCCGTTTTTACATCGACAGGCTAGGTGGTTTTACATCTACAAACCAAGCCAAAAATACAGTTTTTTGAGTGAGTGATTGAGTGAGTTAGTTGGGTTTTACGCCACCTGTAGCAATATTCCCGCAATACCCCGGGAATGGCCTTACACACTGTGCCCATGTTGGGAATCGAACCCAGACTTCGGCGTGATGGGTGAACGCTTTAACAACCTGGCTAACCCACCGCCCCATTTTAACTGCAAATCCATTATATAAATGCATGACGGTTACAGTGTGTAACTTTGTAACTTGGTCATCTGTAAATGGATCCTTTCGGTTTGTTGTTCACGTGAGCACCAGTGCCAGAAACACTCACGTATCCAAACTCAGTTGCAGTCAATATAGAAACTCTGTCACAGGCTAACGAGTGAGCGAGTGAATTTAGTTTTACGCCGCACTCACCAATATTCCATATGCTAGAGAGAGTTGCGTCCCTTGGGTCCACCAGTAACCATGGCTGTGATTTTGAGAGTTCTTCAGTGACCCATGCTTGTCGTAAAAGGCAACTAACGGGATCGGGTGGTCAGGCTCTCTGACTTGGTTGACACTTGTCATCGTATCCTAATTGCGTATATTGATGCTCATGCTACCGCCGCCATATAGATGGAATAATGCTGAGTACGGCGTAAAACTAAACTCACTCACTCATGCTGCTAATCATTGGATTGTCTGGTCCAGACTCGATTATTTACAGACCGCCGCCATATAGCTGGAATATTGGTGAGTGCGGCGTAAAACTAAACTCACTCACTCATGCTGCTAATCACTGGATTGTCTGGTCCAGACTCGATTATTTACAGACCGCCGCCATATAGCTAGAATATTGGTGAGTGTGGCGTAAAACTAAATTCATCCAATCACTCACGACATGTGGAACATGTTCTAGAACGACGAATAGAGTATTATTTTTTCTGACCTCTGCACTTGTGACGACTACATTGCGTGGAAATGATAACCATCTGGTTGTCTGGCATTTTAAAGTGTTCATCTGGTATGATTTCTCAAATATGCCAAGCTTCTTGTAAATTCTGTGCACTTCGACTCACTGCTTGGTGGCGTTTCTTTTTCTGGGCCCATTTCTGGTGTCCCCCGCCGCCGTGATATTGCTGGAATATTGCTAAAGGCGGCGTAAAACCATACTCACTCACTTCTTTTTCTGGTTCAAATAACAGGATTTATTTACGAGATTACCAATGAAAACAGTCCACGAATTCATACACAAAACCATCATTTCAGATTAACTCTTGCCTCCGAGTTTACATTCCTGAAAGTTACCGATTGTATGAGGTGAGGTGAAATTGGGTTTAACGTCGTGCTTGAGAATATTTCGCTCATATGACGACGTGCATGCGTGTGTATGTGTATGTGCGGCTGCTTGTACTAGCCCAGACTCAAGCTGGTTTTATAACCGATTGTATGAAACTCCTGGATCCGCCAATGTACAATGTTATGAGCTTCTGTTGACAATTTGACGCAGTAACACCATTGTGTAACAATGAAGTAAACTGTCATACCAAAATATGTCTTCCAAAACCGGAAGTGACGTATTCGAAACTAGGAGTACCTTTAACTTTACGGACTGAGTTGGAACTATGGGACTTCCGAAGGTTATAAATATTAAAAGATATATCCCGTCAAATCTAGTGTATCAAGCTTGAATTCTGATTGCACGTCAAACGGATCTGACTCTCTACTCTCTTGAGTCCGACTGGCCAGGTTTTGAACCCGCAGTCAAACCAGCAAGGAGCCAGTTGGTTTAAGTTGGTTCGAAGACGCTGGTTCGAATGTCCGCATGGGTCCCATTTCTGTTGTATCCCGCCGTGATTTTGCTGGAAAAGTCAACTCACTGACTCACTTAGGTACAATCAGTGAAGCTCATTTCTGGTGTCCATCACCGTGATATTACTAGTATACTGATAAAAGCGGCGTAAAACCACTCACTGACTCACTCAAACAAGTGACCGCCTCCGTGGTGTAGTGGTTAGAGCGTCCGCCCGGAGAGCGGAAGGTCGCGGGTTCGATCCCAGACCACGTCATACCAAAAGACGTTAACATATGGTACTTGCTGGTCCCTGCCTGGCGCTCGGCATTAATGGGTACAACAAGGACTGGTCGGCTCAGAGTCAGTATACTGTGTCTGAGTGGGGTATTCATGCTTAACTGTGGCGTGGTATCTCAGTGAGCTAGCACTATAAAACCAGCTTCAGTCTGGGCTAGTACAAGCAGACACACATACACACGTCATATGAGCGAAATATTCTCAAGAACGACGTTAAACATCATTTCACCTCACCTCACTCAAACAAGTGATTGTTCCACTCTAATAATTCTCAGTTCACAAAGAAAACACTTTCAAGAAACTCACTGGATTTTTCAAGATGTTACGGTCACAATCGATAACAGACGCCCGCATCTCCAAGATTTATTATCATTTCGTCCACATCAGTACGCAGGTGCATTTTATTTGCGTGAGTCGCATCCATATTCAATCTATACTGAATCACGTGATACATGCTTATATTCCCTTTACTCAGTGCACAAGCGCCAAACACCAGTGTTTCTGCAATAAACTATCCCCTGTCAATCAAACCTGTCTCTCGGCGTGGAAGGTCCCGGATGTTCAATATGAAGGGTAAGCCGTGAACTAGCTAAGATACATAGCGTTCACTAACATTAGCTTGCCGTGAATCCATCAGCCAGATTGAGTGAGTTTAGTTTTACGCCGCTTTAAGCAATATTCCAGCAATATCACGGTGGCAGGGGACACCAAAAATGGGCTTCAGACATAATACCCATGTATTCGGGGTATTCGGGGTGACGAGATAGGCTACTACCGCCCCCACAGCCGCCCGAATGGGTAGGCGTCGTCAGTTATATATGTCTTACTGTCATAGAAAAAAACACTCACAGATTTTCACTTCTAATTATTCTATAATCTGTTAGGACACGGGCAGCCTGTGTCGATGCGCAGCAGACCCTTGGAACCAGGCCGGGACACGCGGTACGGGCGGACCAATTAGACTAACGCTTAGTCTCTGAATATATATAATTTTGATAGTAACAAACAAACCCATTTAAATTGAAAAGGAGCCTCAGGGAGACCAGAGATTCAGAACCTGAGGAAATCTAGATTTGCTTCATTTACGGCTTTAGCTTTGCATACAGGGCTTATGCAGTAGGGAAAATAATGTGGTTCAGTTATTGTGAGACAGACCAGTAGCCCAGTCTACTTAGCCGCCTCAATTCACATTCGTCACCACTCGCCCCTTTCCGTAACCTGCAAGAATATTATTATATATATTATCGGTTATATTATATTATATTCGGTATTCGGCTTGTCCCGGAATAACACGAGTGGGTCACGAATGCCTCAATTCACTGTGCGGAGTTGTCTCCCTTAGGCAAGCCAGATACCTATGATCATGGGTTCAAGTCCTGGTACGTCCTAAGTTTGTTGTTTGGTTTGTAAGCTCCAAAACCATCTATGTTGGCTTCACCAAAGCGGTAACGTCTGCGATCTGCACAGACTCTGGTCTCCCCTCAACATTTAAACCATGTGTTTACACTTCGTAACGTAACTGGAATACTGTAAAACCGGCATTAACCTAAGCTGTTTCACTCACCCTTTAACGTTTATTGAAGTGTATGCAATCTTCATCTACACACGGAGAACAATCTCTTAACTAACTTCATACAAGTTATCAACGACGCATTTAGCAATATTGATATTTCCAGGACTTCAGACAACGTGTGAATTTTCTGATTTTCCGATTCCAGAAATTAACGATTAATTGAGCTATACTGTATACTATAGGCCAATCGCGGCTCTCGCCTATGAGTGCTACAAAAAGGTTCGGAATCATCCGATTCTCTCATAATAATATTATAGTTCATCTGCCATGCCATGAATTTAACACTAATGAAAACGTTCGTAATTGTGAACTAAATAAATAATGCTCAAATGAACACACAGTAACCCATACGCACACAAACACGCGCGCACATACAAATCGTGATTGCAGTACCAGCCTTTTATTTGTTTTGGACCGTACGCCTGTGTATCATTTTATACTTTGATGCGGCAGTAAAATACCTACTATGGGGCCAAGGGAGGTGACTCTGATTCGTGCACGACATTATTCATGATATATTGACCAATGAGAATCCAGCATTCGCGACTAGTGCGAGTTCAATCCAACATGGTTGTGTTTCGGTCAGATCCGTGTGGTATCACCTGCATAATAATTACTTACATCGCTGTTCTTTACGCCGATTATGTCGTCGTTCGACATTTGGTCATTCCTTCGATGTCTGAGACGTGAGTTCTGCAAATGATGATATTTATGGCGCTTAACGAGCCTTTAAATACGTGTTGATTCACGGTCGGCGTTTGATCTGTTCCGTCGACAATCGTCAGTGAAGTCATCTGTCATACCTCGAGTTACTGTTTTGAATGCATGTATCGTATTGAATCTTCACTTTCCGTGACTATAATTAATTGTGTGGGAAATGGTTGTTTTCGATATTACTCGTCTTTACCCTGCAAGGGAAATCTGTTTTATATGACCCTATTTTTCATTGAATGTGTTTACATGCCCAAATGTTACCAGTCAAACAACACAGTTCATGTTTTTTTCAGAAACCGATAGCAGTTTACATGCATCTTTGGTCAGTAATTGCTTTGAATATTTGCATAATGGGACATGTAAGAAACAAACAGTACCCTATCTGGAAATCTAACACCTTATAATTACCATTTGCATGTATTAGAAACCATTTCCTATGTCAGTGTTCATGATTGTGGTTTCAAAGTCACAGGGTCATGTAAGTTTCAGATGTTTGTCTGACCCATTGAAAATGCACAGGACCCATGGAATAAAACTAAACACACATTTCAGATTTAATATTTCTTATAATTGACATTGAAATTATTAACAAACATAAGATTTATAAACAGCAAACAAGTGTCATGTGTCACATAAAACAACTTCAGTCAAAGTCATTGTGAAATATACAGTCAGACACTGGGGCCGGCGGGTTGTAGACTTCTGTCTGACCGTTGGCGAATCTGCCGGATTTGTCAGAGGGTCAGACGCTATTCGAGAACACTGCTTTGTTATTATCATCATATGGTAAGGATAAGACTTATGCTATTTTGTTGAAGTGACACTTTATAATTTTTCTGTTCAGAGTAGTAATTATACTAGAATACTCTATTCTGTATGCCTGTCTAGAATACTTGAATAAATCTCTTCATGTGTTCAGCTTCGTGCGCATTTCTAACTGGTTATGAAGTGTGCTAACTGATTGATATTTGTTATCCTATTAATGTTAGTGACAGGGTTGTGCACAATGCAGAAGTTTGCATTCAGTCAGTACAAATGTAAAGAGTGAGTGTGTGAGTTTACTTATACCTTGCTTTTAGCAATATTCCAGCAATATCATGTTGGGTAAAACTAGAAATGGGCTTCACACACTGTTCACATGTCTTCGCGAACGCTTTAACCGCTAGGCTACCCCACTGCCACAGGTGTATAGAAGTGATGTAGAGGAAAATTGCATCATGAGGGTCATACAATGATATTCCTCGGACATTCTTGACAGGAAATGTGAAGGGCATGTTACCATGGTTACTGCTAACTCAAGGGGACCACTAAGACCACACAGGTTCAATTCCCCACATGAGTACAATATGTTAAGCCCATATCTGGTGTCCCCTGTCTTGATATTGCTGGAATTTTGCAAAAAAGTGGCATTAAGTTTAAACTGAACTCACTCACATTTCATGTATTCAAGGTTTTTTAAACCTTATTTATAATGTTTATTTCTATCTAAAACTGTTTCAGACCCGTGAATGTCAGAGCTAGAATATTGATCTTCAGTAACCCATGCTTGTCGTAAGAGGTGACTAATGGGATGGGTGGTGAGGCTCGTTGACTTGGTTGACACATGTCATCGGTTCCCCATATTGCAGATTGATGCTCATGCTGTTGATCAATGGATTGTCTGGTCCAGACTTGATTATTTACAGACTGCCGCCATATAACTGGAATATTGCTGGGTGCGGCGTAAAACTAAACTCACTAAAACAGTTTCAAACATGACCATGTGTATGTGTTGAATATTTAACATGTTTTATCAAGTATTGGTATAGATTGTTGTCCATGGATTGAAAGCGATATGCAAGTGCTTGTTCTGATGTGCTGAAAGTATATGATGATCAAGGTAAAATAACTTGGGTTTCCAATATTATGATGCTATTGAATACTAGTTGGATAACCCAAGTCTTTCATTTCAGCAATTTAAGCAATGTTATTATGAGACTGGTTGGTTTGTTGTTTAACCAATATTCCAGCGATATAACGGCAGTCTTTTAATAATCAAGTCTGGATCAAACAATCCAGTGATCAACAGAAGTTACTAGTTCTATATGTAGAGAATAGTACACGAGGTCTCATTATGTACGAATTATACAAATCGAGTGTCCTTCCTATGGTTTCTGACCTTGCTTTCGCTCGGTCAGATACCATAAGAAGGACACTCATGAGTTTCGTATAATTCGTATGTTATGAGACCGAGTGTGGTATTTTATTTTTCATCCATATCTTACATACATTAAATTGACAAAATAGCGTATATTTGGTATTGTTATGGTTTCAAACCTTTCATAAAAAGGGTGCGGAAGAATGTTGTTCTGTAGTACACTTATTGCATGCTGTCACACTGTAATGACGTCACTACGCCTTGCTCGTCTGCCCCCTTGGTAACTGACGTCATGATGCATGTCAGTTGTCATCGCCTCGTACAGCCTCCTACATTAAACTGCTCCGTAGCACCCCGTTTCTTAGTTTGCAGCTGCTTCACTCGGCTAACCTCGCTTGTGGAAACTTTGCGTTTATGTTTTTTGACGCATATAATGCCTCAGTTCGACTCAGCAATGTTTACATTCCCACAATGCATATAAGTTGTAGAATGAATGAATTCACGTGTTTGTTATGAATGAAAAAGTAGTTCCGTCACAACGTCACCTAATTGAGAGGTCATCGGTTATCCAATCAAATCGTTAGAATCTCAGGTCAAGTCGTTTTGACACAGGTCAACGCGATACGACACTCGTGTGACGTACGAGATTAGTATGCAAATACCCATTCATTGACCACGTGGGTAATAAATATAAATATGTACTTCTGTTGTAAAACAGATTTTGAAGCTGAAAATTTGTATTGCATCGAAAAACTAACTGGGACCTTGTTTGTTTGATATGTCAGTTTGGGTGTTTGCCATACAAACTAAAAAATCAACAATGTCACTATTGTCCCTCTGTGGTACCCATTTTCTGCTGGATGAACAGAGACAATTTTGAACAAACTCACTTGCCTAAGGTGAGACCACATGTATCACCTATGCTTCGTTGTGGGGTAGGACTGAAGTCCTAGAAACTCTCAGGAGTCAAGCTGCCAAACACGGTCACCCATCCAAGGACTCTCCAGGCCAGACATTGCTTAACTTCAACTGACTGTGACCTGAGCTCTTCGCACAGGACCACACACCACCACTAGTGTCTTTCAGGCATAGCTAGCCCGACTGGCTAGCCATTTTTGGAAACTATTTTGCACACTGACAAGTGACCACATTTCTTGAAATTAAATATACACATGTTGAAAATTATCCTGCCTGGCTTGGATATATTCGATTTTGCATATCTCCCTTTATTAAATAGCACCTACAGTGAAAACACATCTTTATAAAAAATTCATGAATATTTGATATCACTAAACATGAATAATGGATTGAAATCATGAAGGGATATAGGCGAGAGAATCATAACCATGGTAACAATTCTGCTGCCTACTCTACAGGAAATAGTCAGTACATTTAGCGCTATGGGCCATGAGACCATAAATGGTCAAATAGAATGGTCCATATTTTCAATTGTTTTAGACCCTGTGGTAATAATTTGCAGAAATGAAACTGTACATTTTGATATTTTATTAATGTTAGTACTAATTAGTGGTGGTCCGATTAATTGAAATACTCAAAGATTGGTCGCAGTGACTAAACGACCAAGCAATCGATCATGTTTTCTCATAATCGAACACAAACAATTCTGGAACACTTGTTTTCATAAACAATATTTTTCACAAGGTTGGATTTGTCTGTTACATTTCATAAGCACTACAAGCTCAAGTCATGATTGAATTTATCTTAAAGACTCCAAGAAATTTATGTTCCTGACATACTAGTCATCCTTTAAAGATGTGAAATTTTGCCCCAAAACCTAAAAGAACTACATGTTTTTTTCTTAGTTTTATGTGCATTAACAAATTTCATTAATGACGCTAACCAATTTTTTTTCGATGATTGATTGGTTGTAATAAACCAATCATCAATTATGAGATTTTAACCAATTCCCAACACTAGTACTAATAACAGATAATGACAGACAGTTTAACATTGACAAAGGAAGTTAAACAGGATATAATGCAGTTAATTTGCACATTTGTTAATTTAATTAAATAATTAATTAGTTTATCAGAGTCACTGCAGACAGACTGTGTTACAGTTGCCTATCCATAGTTTGGGTAGTGGTAGCCTAGTGGTTAAAGCGTTCACTCGTCACGTCGAAAACCCGGGTTTGATTCCCCACATAGGTACAATGTATGAAGCCCATTTCTGGTGTCCCCTGCCATGATATTGCTGGAATATTGTTAAAAGCAGCGTAAACCATACTTACTCACTCTCGGTAGTTAAAATCTGTATCTTTTTCCATTTTTGGGTTGGGAAAAAGTTTCACAGCCAACAATGAAGTTTAATTTGGCATACCATTGTGAACCTTGGGACTGGCTACAAACTCAGAGGACGAGTGAAATAATGTTTCCACTTGTCCTTTGAATGTTCGAAGAAAACCGTTTATGAGGCTTCCTCTAATGATTGCTTGTGTTCATTAAAGTTTAGATGCAACCAACAAAATAAACATAATTTAAACACAATTATCATTTATTCATGACATATAATATACATTGCTGATTATGAAAAATAAAAATTATAAGCGTACAATCGCTGAATAAAAATGCAGTAGTTTGTACTTGGGTTTACTCCAAACGAGGGAGGTGGGGTAGCCTAGTGGTTAAAGCGCTCACTCATCACGCCGAAGACCCGGTTTGATTCCCCACATAGGTACAATGTATGAAGCCCATTTCTGGTGTCCCCTGCCATGATATTGCTGGAATATTGTTAAAAGCGCGTAAAACCATACTTACTCACTCTCGTAGTTAAAATCTGTATCATTTTCCATTTTTGGGTTGGGAAAAAGTTTCACAGCCAACAATGAAGTTTAATTTGGCATACCATTGTGAACCTTGGGACTGGCTACAAACTCAGAGGACGAGTGAAATAATGTTTCCACTTGTCCTTTGAATGTTCGAAGAAAACCGTTTATGAGGCTTCCTCTAATGATTGCTTGTGTTCATTAAAGTTTAGATGCAACCAACAAAATAAACATAATTTAAACACAATTATCATTTATTCATGACATATAATATACATTGCTGATTATGAAAAATAAAAATTATAAGCGTACAATCGCGAATAAAAAATGCAGTAGTTTGTACTTGGGTTTACTCTCCAAACGAGGGGAGGTGGGGTAGCCTAGTGGTTAAAGCGTTCACTCATCACGCCGAAGACCCGGGTTGAAGTCCCCACGTGGGCACAATGCGTGAAGCCCGTTTGTGGTGTTCCCCGTCTTGATATTGCTGGAATATTGCTAAAAACGGTGTAAAGCCATACTCACTCACTCCCTCTCCAAACGAAGCACCCGGGATACCGAACCCAGTCAGAGTGGATGGGTGTGTACTTAAGTGTAATGAAGACTTTCATTGGGCGGTTCATTTGCCGATACGCTCAGGGCTCTTTGTGTGTGTATAGGGATCCAGGGTTAAGCCGCACGAACCTATTCACAGAGCGTCCGCTATATGCGCAGCGCAGCACAGCACAGCTGTTGAAACCATTTTTAACCCCAGCTGGGGTATTATTAGTGAATCATTTGAACTCCGATTTTGTGGAAATTTTTTCATCACGTTATTTTTCAACTTTATAAGTTGAATTTGCAGTTTGGATAATTTGTTACTGTAAGTCCAAACCGAAAGGTATCAGAATCTGCAAAGTTGTGTTTTGCGTTGCATGTAAGCTTTAACAATTACTGTACATATTGGACAGAATGTTTTGAGTCAGATATAACTTTGCATATATATCTTGTTCTTCATCTGTGCACATTTTGTTTGCAGTTTCTGGGGAGCAGTTCACGTCGTTGCGTTCAATACAATTCTGTTCCTGCTGGGGATATCTCACATGCGGGCGGTGATGTCTGACCCTGGTGTCGTGCCCCTCCCCACCACCAGCATTGACTTCTCGGACATGCACTCGGGAAAACAGACCAAGAACTCGGTACGTACCTGTTATAGTGATGGGATAGCCTAGTGGTTACAGCATTTGCTCGTCATGCTGAACACCTGGATTCGGTTCCCCACGTGGGTACATTGTGTGAAGCCCATTTCTGGAGTCCCTTGCTGTGATATTGCTAGAATATTGCTAAAAGCGGCGTAAAACTAAACTCTCTCAGCTTAGGGTTTTACACAGACTTTAGAAAATGGGAGTCATGGTGACTCACAATTTATTTTTTGGAGTCATTTTCAATATTTGGGAGTCATGAAAATTTTAATATTTCTTTGTGGTAATCATTCTCAGTATGTAACCGTCTATGTCACAACACCAAATGAAACTACAGCATTGTTCAATTCACACAGCCAGGATTATTGTCTCGTCTGAGTACTCTGGAACAATCTGACAGCTCTGTAAAAGTCAAACTATCATTGAACAATATCATATTTAGGGCTCCTTGCCTCTAGGCAGGAGACCTATTGTAATCGTTCGGATTATGATTATCATTATTATTTATTATTCCGCCGATTTTTGTACCAAACATAACTCCTAAACCAATGCTCCGAATGGCATACAAAAAATCACACAGATGCGCACCGAAGTTTAGATATTCCCCTTAAAAATCTCTAGGCTCTTGGCCCAATAGCAAAAGGGAGATAATTCAAAATTAATTCCAAAATTTCAACGTTTGACAGCAAATATCTCAAGTGCTAAGCGTTCCAACACTTCCAAATTTCTTGTACAGATGCACAATCGAATTCCCAACAATTTTGCCTGGACGGGTCAAGTCGCTAAAACCTACCGTTTGGCAGTTATTTTTGTTTTCAGTGTTTGGCCATGTTTTTCAGCAGTGTTCTGAGTAGTTTGCTCCCAAACGTGCAAATTCTGCACAAAAAGTATGGTAGATGGTAGATGATGTCTTGGTGATTCCAGAACACTAATTGTTTTGAACGTAGACCCAAGAACAACTGAGATACAGCCTTTTAAAGAGGGAACTATTTCTTCTCCGGAACTTCTTAAAAGGTACATGACCCCCGTGACCCCGGCTGTATTTGGAGGATCCGTCGCCAGTCAAAACACGTGTTCTGGCTCTGTTTTGGACGATGATATCTAGCCCTCAGATACAATAGATAGAACTAAAGCCAAGGAGACCTCATCGTTGCCTGCAACTATATTTTGCTTATAGAATCGATTTTATTGAACTGAATTGTGAGGGCCACCCATAAAACTTGCGTCAAGCTTGACTCATATGATAATAACTTGAGAGTCGTTTACAAAATTGTTGCGTCAAATGCGCAGGAATCAAGCGTCATGTAAAACCCTGTCAGTTCACTCACTTATGACAGGGATTTAGACAGAAAAGCTGTTGTTGACTAGTTGACATGTCTTCGTACCCCAAATAAAAACATGGATGCTGATGCTGTTGATCACTGGATTGTCTGGTCCAGAATCAATTATATACGGACCGCCGCGATATCGCTGGAATATTGCTGGTTGTGGACTTAAACAGCAAACCCACCTTGAACAGATGTTGGTAATACTTCCCCAATTTTAATTACAAATATTTCCCAGTTTATGTTATAGAATTATCGCTAATGTAATGGAGGGGGGCGGGCAGCTAAGGTTAAGCTTTCGCACGTCACGCCGAAGGCTCAGGATCGATCCCTAACATGGGTACAATGTGTGAAGCCCATTTCTGGTGTTCCCTGCCTCGATATTGCTGGAATATTGCTAAAAGCGACATAAAACCACATTTACTCACAAATGTAATGGCTTTTGTTGACGTCACCAATTCAAGCAAAATAACAGACCTGTTTACTCTGTAGTTTCTTTTGATTTTATTTCCGAAACATTGATATGGTTCAGGCGAAAAAATTCGAGTTTTATGAATATCATACAAATCAAGTTCTTAACTCATGAGGGTAGATGAGGTGGCATTGTGGTTAAAGCGTTCGCTTGTTGTGCCAATGACCCAGGTTCGATTCCACGTGCTGTGTGTGAAGCCCATTTCTGGTGTGAAGCCCATTTCTGGTGTGAAGCCCATTTCTGGTGATATTCCTCGAATATTGCTAAAAGCGGTGTAAAACCCAATGTCATGGCTTTTGTTGACGTGACCAATGCAAGCAAACTCTTAGACCTGTTTTCTTCGATTTTATTTCAAAACATTGATACGGTTCAGGCAAAAAATATAGTGATTTTATGAATATCATACAAATCGAATTCTTAAATCTTGAGTTATCAAAACTTCTAATATTGAATGAAGCACCATGGATATCTTTGCTAATGTAAATAACACTTCAAATTAATATCAATTGCCATGTCTACTAAGGCTGTAACGATTCACTCTCATATTCGGTGAATCGAACCGTAGCCCTTCATGAATTCAATTCGTTATTCGTGGTCACCAGAACCGAATATTCATGAATACTTACAATTTTTTTAACGGAGTGTTTTACTTGAACCCTTATGTCCTTTTTCAAAATGAGATATGCAAGAATGCATTATGTACTAGCCTTGTAGTACCGCAAGTCATGTTAGTTTGCCAAGGCCGCACATGGTACTGTCATCTATAACTATTACATACCAAATTTGAGTGTCATGAGATGACTGGTTATTGCTGTGACAAATTAACACTGTCAACATGGGCAATTAATATTGTGCGTCAATCACTTAACTACAATATTGGATTCGTGAATAATTATTCATATTCGTTACCCAATATTCGTGATACGTATCATATTCGCCACATAGTGTATTCGTTCTAATGTCTACCATGAGCTCTTTCATCTTTGAACTGAGTGAGTTTAGTTTTACGCCACACTCAGCAATATTCCAGCTATATGGCGGCGGTCTGTAAATAATCGAGTCTGGACCAGACTATCCAGTGATCAACAGCATGAGCATCGGTCTATGCAATAGGAATATGATGACATGTGTCAACCAAGTCAGCGAGCCTGACCACCCGATCCTGTTAGTCGCCTGTTACGACAAGCATGGGGCACTGAAGATCAAAGCGGGTTCGATCCCCGGCCATGTCATACCAACAGACGTTAAAATATGGTACTTGTTGGTCCTTCCTGGCTCTCGACAGTAATGAATATAACAAAGACTGGTCGGCTCAGAGTCAGTATAATGTGTCTGAGTGGGGTATATTATTCATTAGTGGTGGTCCGATCAATTGAAATAATCGAAGATTGGTCGCAGTGACTAAACGACCAAGCAATCGATCATGTTTTCTCATAATCGAACACAAACAATTCTGGAACACTTGTTGGCTTTCACACGGTTGCTTTTGTCTGTTACATTTCATGAGCACTACTAGCTCGTCCAAGTCATGATTGAATTTATCTTAAAGACCCCCAAGTTTATGTTCCTGACATACTAGTCATCTTTTAAAGTTGAGCAATTTGTGAAAAAAACAAAAGAACTACATGATTTTTCTTTATGTTTTTGTGCAAACAAACATAACCAGGAAAATCTGATAAATGACGCTAACCAATTATTTTCGATGATTGATCGCTTGTAATGAACCAATCATCAATTATGAGATTTTAACCAATTCCTAACACTACTATTCATGCTTAACTGCGGCATGGTATCTCAATGAGCTACCACTAGTATTTAACCAGCTTAAGTCTGGGCTAGTACAAGCAGCAGCAACCGCACATACACACGAATGCACCTCACCATGAAATGAAGATGTGTCTGTGTTGCAGGGTGACGGGTGGACTGTGTGCATGAAGTGCGAGACGTATCGGCCGCCGCGAGCTCACCACTGCCGTGTCTGTCGTAGATGCATAGGAAGAATGGACCATCACTGTCCATGGTAAAGACGTATTACTATTAAGCAAATGTTGTTTTGACTGTTTGATTAAATCAGTTAATTTTCCCTTATCCTGACTCATGCTTATTTGCTTGTCTCCTTCCTCTTGCGAACTTAGTGGAACACTTGTATCTCCTATTGAAGCTCCCTTCAATAAAAACAGATGTAAAATCACTACTCACCAAGAGTTATCCCTTGATCCGTTTTGGCGGGAAACTGTGGCGCCACCGTTCCCACATGCTTCACTCTCTCCTTCTTCGCCCTAGCAAGAGGAAGGAGACAAGCAAATAAGCATGAGTCAGGATAAGTATAAAATATCTATTTTATTCAGAAAATTACATTTTTATTGGTACTACTTTTATTTTCCTATTTCATATTCTGTACCCTTTTGCAGGTGAATTAATCAGAAATCATTTGTTTTCAATGACATTCCAGTAAGATGGGATATTAAGAAGGGGAAACATGTAAGCATTGGGCTTTGTGCACATTCTGTATTTGTAGCCAACGAGGAAATGCCAGAAAATCTGCATAAACTGGTTGCTGAGCAACGGGAGAGTTCTATGGATATACAACTTCTTTATGATTAATATGAGCTACATTTCGGTGTAGCTACTAACACCGTTATCATAGAAGTGACGTTTTGGTGTAGCCAGTGCCAACCGATTTTCTTGTGTACCCTTTCATGTTGCAGGTTCTGATTTTGTCTGTTTGTCTTGCAGGATCAACAACTGTGTTGGAGAAATGAACCAAAAATTTTTTATTCAGTTTTTATTTTATGTAGGTAAGTGCTCTTAAAATAATTGATAATCTTTATTTTACAAATTGATAAAATCAGGCTATTGGTTGAAATGGTGACCACCCGATCCCGTTAGTCGTCTTTTGCAACAAGCATGGGTTGCTGAAGACCAATTCTAACACAGATCTTCACAGGTTTAGATTTTGGATTAAACAAAAACAAGCTTTTTTTTAATATTTATTATTTTGGATGTTTTGTTTTGTTTCCAGGGATGGCAAGTGTTTATGCTGTTACCATGGTGATAGTGGCCTGGATAGTGGATCCCACCCCAGTTGAAAATATCCGCCATATCAAATTGTGAGAGTTACCTCCCTTGACCTTTTGGTATTTCAATTCATTTATCCTAAATATACCAGTGAGCATATGTAACATACAATTACAAAAAACAAATACAAAACCAAGCTTAAATTTTAAATTCATTAATAAAAAATATACATGTTTTTTCTGAAAAAGGACAATTAGGGACTTCCTCAATCACTGGGTTGAACTCCTGATCAATATATGATGATAATTGATGATGAATATTTTCTTTCAGATTGCATTCCATAATTCTGGTCATAGAGTCCATCCTATTTGGCCTGTTTGTTATAGCAATAGGATGTGATCAGGTAAGTCCTTAATTACTTCTGGGGTGGTGGGGTAGCCAAGTGGTTAAAGCGTTGCTTGTCACGCCGGTTCGATTCCCCACATGGGTACAATGTGTAAAGCACATTTCCGGTGTCCCCCGACGTGATATAGCTGGAATATTGCTAAGAGCGGCGTAAAGGATAACTCATTCAGTAAGCCCTAACTTGCAAATTGGTGAGTTTTACGCCGCACATATTCTGATAACTAGTTTTGTGTATTGTATGAGGTAAAATATATCCCTTTCAATAAAGGAGTAATATCTTTTAATTTTTTTTTATCATGGGGTTGTACAAAATCCCATGGTCAGAGAAGCTGTCAAGAGTTGTTCGAGTGAGTGAGTGAGTGAGTTTAGTTTTACGCCGCACTCAGCAATATTCCAGCTATGTGGCGGTGGTCTGTAAGTAATAGAGTCTGGTCCAGACAATCCAGTGATGAACAGCATGATTATTGATCTATGCAATTGGGATATGATGACATGTGTCAACCAAGTCAGTGAGTCTGACAACCCTATCCCGTTTCTGAAGACCGAGTTAACACAGATCTTCATTGGTAAATTGCAAATTAAATCTCGTCATCTCTTCAGCTGGCACTCACTGCTGTCACGCAAATGCTGTCATTATCATATATGATAAGAGATGAGATGGTAAATCCAATTGATTCTTTTTTAGCAGTAAGGTCAGACCAATTTTATTTCTTGTTTTACAGAGTTTTGTCCTCAGAAAACCCAAAGGCAGGAGGGAAAAAAATAAGAAATAAAAATAACCAGTCACAGTAATATTCCTTTTAGATACTAAAAGAATTTTATTTTTGGCAATTTATTAAGTGTATTTGGGGCAAAAACAATCCAAAATTTTTGTTGTTGAAAGTTTACATTTTTTGCCAATAAAAACATGAGGATTTTTTTTTTGAGCAGGGGAAATTTTTTTTCTTTTTTTTTCTTCTTATTTTTGAAAATATATGACCGGCGGATCTGTAAAACAAGAAATAAACTTGGTCTGGCCCAACGTCTAGAAAACTGGTACCGACAATATATAAATGTTTTACTTGTAGATATCGTCAATTTTGAATGATGAAACAGCTGTAGAGCACGTGAAGCGAGAGGGACCACGTCGTCAGAAGAAATCAACGATGGCTTTGTTCCAGGAAGTGTTTGGTAGAGGTACGTACTACACTGTCGTCCTGAATATGTTGTGATTTCAGAATGTGCACTAAGCAGGAAAGTCGTAGGATATTGTCAACTCCATTATAGTGACAGTTCAAGATTCAGGAACTTGTACTTGTTGTACATATAAAGATGTATAGCGTTTCAAACAGTCTGGAAAAAGCCAGAAATTTGGACAGTTAGCCATCGAAAAGCCCTAAATTGGCTGTGATTTGCCCTAAAATGCCCTCAGGTAACAAAACTTTTCAAGTTATGATTTTACAGGAAACATACATTATAAAATATGTGGGTGGTGGGGTAGCTAGTGGTTAAAGCGTTGGCTCGTCACGCCGAAGACCCGGGTTCGAATCCCCACATGGGCACAATGTGTGAAGCCCATTTCTGGTGTTCCCCGCTGCGATGTTGCTGGAATATTGCTAAAAGCTGCATAAAACCAAACTCTGTCAGTCAGTCAAAGTGTTGTTTGGGCCTAGAAAAGTTCTTAAAAAGGCCTTAAATTTGATGGGTGATGATTTTTCCTTAGCGTCAAATGGTGTAGCGCGAAATTAGTCTTCGTTCAGTAAGAAGATAAACATCATGTGTTGGCTATTTTCCGGGGTGTTATTGAGTATTTGAAGCACGAGAATTCATTTGGAACGGACAGCATCAGTCGGACTGACTGACTGACTGACTGACTGACTGACTGACTGAGTTTGGTTTTACGCCGCTTTTAGCAACGTCCAGCAACATCATGGCGGGGGACACCAGAAATGGGCTTCACACATTGTGCCCATGTGGGGATTCGAACCCGGGTCTTCGGCGTGACGAGCCAACGCTTTAACCATTAGGCTACCCCACCGCCCCGCATCAGTCGGAGGTTTTAAATGAAATATTCCCGTGCTTCAAATACTCAATAGCACCCGGAAATTGGCCAACACATGATGTTTATCGACATTGTAAACACAAAAGTAAACTGAAAGGTCCACACACGTTTTTGTGTCTGCACTCATTGACATCGAGTACGGGTACAGCAGTGAAATGTCATCAGCCGGCCGTTTAGGCTGTCTTCCATGGTAGCATCTTGAACTGCTCATTTGTGATGTCATTCGGACTTTACATCACATTATGATTTGAATGACGTCATCACAGCTGACGACGTAACGATACAATGGTGTGAGCGATGTTTGTATGTATTAATACACAGCGAACTTCCGGGAATCGAATACAATTTGATCATGTTTTTCAACCAATCAGATTAAAGAACACAGTGACATTTGGTTTACAATATACCGTAGTGCTTTCGGTATTTTTGGTTTTCGTACCATCATTTCTATCTAGTTATATAATGACAAGTTTGGTTCATTCAAAATTACAAAGATTATGGATATTTTTTTCCATGTTTTTAAACAATGTAAGGTTTGGCTCATGTCAGTTTTCTGCTTTGTGATCATATCTCATATATCAGCCTGTAATGGACTGAACCAAAGGCCTTGTACTGTAATACATACTGTACCATGGTAAGAGCGTACCGTTTCACCCCTAAAAGGCCTTAACTTTGATAGCTGATGGTATGTGCGATCAGACAATCCCTGACTTGAGGATCTCATTTAATTTCAAGCACTACTTTTGTGGCTGTGTTTAGACTGTGAGCCAATCCCAGGACAGAATAAGCCCAAGTGGGCCATGATGGTTAATTAAAGAAGCTCTCTAAGATTGTATCACACTTAACAAGCACTTTACCGTTTCTGTGTAAGGGAGGTAACTCTTTGTCTTTCCATTCAAAAGGGATCATTTTGAAGCAAATTATCATATTCTTGTTCAGCCTTCAAAGATGAAGGAAGAGCATGTCAAGCTAGCATTCTTTCTTCAGGACGATGACTATAATATTGATGAAAAAGCATGGCATTATACTGTCATAGAATTCTCAAAGTATTTACATTAACTGAAGGATATCGTTAAGAACCTGTTGTAGTGATATTACCGATATTTGTCACTGTTTATGGTCTCTGTGTACTGAGAGAAATGTTCTCACAATTTATATACATTTATATGAAACATATATTTTCTTGCTTTATTATTTCATTAGCATAACTATGATATTTGGGAATCTTAACATATTCATTCATTATTCAGTCATTCAGTCATTCAGTCATTCAGTCATTCAGTCATTCATTCTAATCCAACTTAGTATGTAACATGAGTTCTGATTGGTCAATGCTATAAATTTCCGACCATATAACCAGCATATATGGTCGCAATTTGAAAACCGATTCACCAAAACCTTTGAATGTATCCCTACACTATTGGGGGTAACACTGTTTTTCAGGGCATTGTCATTTGCAGAAGCCCTAGGTCAGTTTAACTCCCCTATCCCGCTAAAATGAGTGGAATTTGTGTTAAAAAAGACAAAACAGTATCATAAATTTAATTGTAAGTTCAAACAACAGCAAGGGGCTGTTGACCCAACACTGTTAGATCATGAAACAAGATTTATGACGTCACTATTGAGCGTGTTGACAACAGAACAGATAGTGGCCCGTAGTTGAGGAATCACCGGGCCATTATCATTTGCAGCGGCCCGCTCATTTCTGATAACTAAAGGGCGGTTTCATGATATAACCTTCCATTTTAGCTATAACACAATAATTTATTCATCATTGTCAGATTTAGTCAGTGTGCACATAATAAACGTTTTGAAGTTTGAAAGGGAACTACTTTTTCTTGCGATGGTGTAAGTTCAAGGAGTGATATAATTTACCTTTGACCTAGAAACACTTTGACCTGGTTTACATAATGAATTTCTTTCATGAAGAAACAGCGTAAAACGAGTTGCATTAGAATGGGGATAACTGTACTGTGTTTGACGAATTGGGGACTTATACCAGTGGTTATATTGCCGCAAATTTAACGTTATATCGGCTCCGCTTATTTACAGACCGTCGCCATATAGCTGAAATATTGCTAAGTGTGCCGTAAAACCAAACTCACTCACTCACTCATTGTCTTTCTATGACTAGTGCCTTTTGTATGCATCAACTGCAGTAGACTTGGTGTGTTATGTCTGTTTCTGTTCATTGAGTAAAAGTATGTCAAGTTAAAGTGACAGGGATACTTTTGGCTATTTAACTTTGTGTTTTTGCACAAGTGGATTTTTAATTATTTTCTTACTTCTTTGTATGCAAGCAGCTCCAAATTAATTGTGTTATAGTGATATAGTCTGAGCAATTTCCACAGTTTATCTGGAGGTCTGTAGTAGAGGACATAGCAGCTGTTGCGTGTGAATATCCATCTTCAAATAAGTAACGCTCATTTAATCATGATTTCTTGCTTCAGGTCACCCATTGGTGTGGATGTGCCCTCTGCACTATGACCCTGTGACCCCAGAAGTGCCCATGCATTACAATGTGTGACAGGTCAGAGGTCAAGGTCAAGGTCGGCTGTGTGAATGTGAAGGATGCCAGGAAGGATATGTTTTTAGTATTTATAACATTGATGTGTCAACATGCAAGGAATCTGTCGTCATCCATTGCATATAGAGCTGGCAACATGAAGGTTTTTGTACTCGATATTTGAGCCTTGTCAGTTTATTTGACCATATTATCATCAGCACTCACAGACTCTCTACAGGTACGGCACATATATACCCAACAATAAAAGTTATGTTTGTCATTGTTCATACAGCCTTAGCAAAGCAGTTGTTTTATTTAGATTAGTTCATTAGTTCAGAGGACTAAGAAATTTTATCTGGTCCTGGCTTGAACATGACAAATGTTTTTACTATGATGACGTCTTCTGACAGTTTTATTCAATTCCAACATGTAACAAAAATGAAGCATTGAGAACTGGTTCTGAACTGAAGGTTTGAAATATCTTATGTCAAATAAAAACACCAGGGCCTATATTTTTTAAGCTCTCTTAGAGCTAAGATAGTCATAAGTTAATCCTAATGTATGCCAGTTCTAAGAGAGCTTCGAAAATATAGGCCCAGCCTTCGTGTTTTGCTAATCCTCAGTATCGTCCTGGGATTTGCATGAATTTCAAAGGGTGTAATTCTCCTGCTGTGATATTCAAAACAACAGTTATGTGTTAAAAAATATCAAGTGCTTGACGTGTAATGCTGAGGGCTGGGTTTGATTCCCGACATTGGTACAATGGGTGTACCCTTTTTGTCTTTTGCATGACCTTGAAAGAGTATTGCTAAAAGTCGGGAAAGCCAAACTTGTAATTTGTGTGTTCTTTAGACAATCTGTTAAAGCAAAGGCTTGTCTTGAACATTATTTATAAATGAAATGAATTTCAAAATAAATTACATGAGATTCCAATTGATTTTTTCTGTTCATTTTCCATTAAAAAAACCTTAGGTCACACTTTAACAGGCTAGTGTCTGATTGGCTTAATATTAATGGGCAGAGTTTGTGTTGTTTCATTGAGCTGATATTTGTATTGATATGTTTTTCGTGCAAATGAATAAATAAGCTGTGTTATTTATGAGAATTGACTTAGTATGTTTTTGAACTTTCGGAATTGACGTACACACTTTGTGTAAATCTGTACTTGCACTGGTTTTTACGTTTTTTACATCCATAAATGGAAAAGGTATTGAATCAATTCTTAAACCAAATAGTGATGGACCGCTGTTAAATATTGAAAGAGATACGATGATGGCTTTGATATTTTTGATATTTTCAGGCCAATATGCTAAAAGCGGCTTAAAACCTAACTCATTCACCCCATGACTTCGATGATTGGCAAAATCCACCACTGGATTGTCTGGTAGATTGTTCACAGGAGGATGCATGTAGGAGGAATATTGCTGAGTGAAGCATTATGCCATGTTTTACAGCTATCTAACAAATGTTGTGTTTGTTGTTAGAAGATTCACCAGTGTCAGCGATTTTAAATCATCATTCACTTATGAATTTATTTGTGAATTATCATGATAATTACTGAATTTTTGTTGTTGAGTATATATTCAAATCGTGTTGCGAACCATTCATTTATTATACAGGGTGCCATACAAAAGGAATCGGGAAAACGTCATCCAAAATAATATGAAATTTTCCAGAGAAGGGTCATTTAAATTAATTCACATATTTTAGTTGGGGATGAGGGTCAAGATTAGATGTATATTTTATTATCAATAATGTTGGTTTTTGTAATATAAAGTGCTTTTGGATTTTGTTTCATAATTAGTGTACAGGGATGTGAGCATTCAGAAGGTTAATCATCCTCGATAATCCCCAGGGTATACGTCACGATAACTCTCCACTATACCCTGGATGTATCCACGGCCTGGCCCGATAATTATATTACCTCCCTTTGCTGGCTTTCTATCCAATCAGGTGCCTACGCTGGGAAGTTGAGCGTACCAATCACAACTCACTTTCGCTTCTTAAATTATCTAACCGTTTAAACTTGGCAACACAATTGATGCAGAGGTACTCTGAAAGAAGTAGAAGGAGTTCTTTCATATATTTTTTTTAAGTTTCAGATCTGTCAATTTGTCCGTATTATTTCCCCCAAAATCTGAATGGCACTGCAAACAAACCTTCGCGACTACGACCGCTGTCTTTGCTGACACTGGCAAGCGGTTGTAAAGGCGGCTTAGCTGATTGGCTACTGTGAGAATGCGGAGCCAGCCAAGGGAGGTAATAAAATCATCGCCCCAAGCCATGGATGCATCCAGGGTATAGTGGAGAGTGATCTTAACGTATACCCTGGAGATTATCGAGGATGGAGGTAGATGGGCAATAAACATTAGGGACTATTTTCTGTACATGAGTGTATCAGTCATCTCTGGTCACAGAGGGGCGGTGGGGTAGCCTAGTGGTTAAAGCTTTTTCTCATCACGCCTAAGACTTGTGTTGATTCTCCACATGGGAGTCCCCTGTCGTGATTTTGCTGGAATATTGCTAAAAGTGGCATAAAACTACACTCACTCACTCACTCTGGTGACAGAGGTCATCAGTAATTGGGACCACAGAATATTGCCCCGAGATTTTCAGCATCACATTTTGACAATATGTTTTCATGTCCCAAGCATATCAACAGGGTTTTATCACTAGCGAAATATTGTATTGTGAAAGAGTTGGATGCAGATGAGGATTGTGACGGCAGGTGGAAAGATGCATCAGTAAGAATCATTAAAAATAATTTATTTCTGGGACTACAGTGTATATGTACAGTTGTATTTGCATTTTTGATCAGACACCCAGGTTCAGATTTTCCATGACTCACTACAACTGCAATAACAAAGGAAATCTCATGTATACAGGATTACAACCTGTTGTGTTGTTGTCGTTGTAAAGTGTAGTGTGTCGCCACCTTGTAGATGTCAAAGGCACAGTGATTATCTTTTGACCCCATATACATGTTTGCAACAACCAAAAACGATTCCTGAAAGTACTGACTCTTACAGAACTTTGAAAGAGAGTTGTCTCCCTTTGATCAGAATTTTTGACAGGTGAAGGGGAGACAATCAGCTTGCAGAGATGTGACCATTATGATTTTGTTGGAATTTTTAAATTTGCAATTGGTTTGTAAATGGAATTATATCATGAATGTTGTCAACAAACATGTTACCTCTGATGCCAATAACTACATATTTACCTCCAAGCAGTAATAGACGCATACGTCTTAATGATCAGCGGGGGCGGTGGGGTAGCCTAGTGGTTAATACTTTCGCTCGTCACGCTGTAGACCTGGTTTTGATTCCCCACATGGGCACAAAGTGTGAAGCCCACATTGGTACCATGTGTGAAGCCCATTTCTGCTGTCCCCTGCCATGATATTGCTGGAATATTGCTAAAAGCGGCGTAAAACCATACTCGCTCACTGCAAGCAGTGTTCAGTCATTGTAATATACACTTGTTCATTGAAGAAGCGGGAGTGGTGCAGAGGCCTAGTGGTTTAAGCATTCACTCATCATACCGATTCTAAACCTGGGTACTATCTTTGAAGCCAATTTCTGATGTCCCCTGTCGAGATAATGCGGGAATATTGCTATAGCCAGCAGAAACATTACATATGCGCTCTTCAATTACTTCCCTTTTCTAGTGTCCCCCGCCACGATATAGCAGGAATATTGCTAAAATCGGCACAAAACATTATTCATGCACTCCGGAATTAAGCCCCAATAATTTGCATTATCTTAATGAGAAATATGGCATTATTTATAGTTTATAGAAACAAAGACTGTTGATCCAGGTAGAAGAATTAATATTAATGGGATAATATGATATAGTGGACAAAATAAGTTAGGGATATTAGTATTTTTATGATTGATATTTTATCAGTGTGTGAATGAATAAATAGATCATTATTCATAAGTTCAATATTTACGTATATCCCTAACTATTTTTGTCCAGTATATATTCTGCACAAAAGAAGTTCAGGAACACCCAAGTTTATCATGTAATCATTACAAGTGTAAATGGGGTGTTCTATAAGTTAATTAGAGTTGTATATGTTTAATTCTTATTTTGTGTTATTTAAAAGTTTGTATATTTGTAGCTTGTGTTACTTAAAAGGTTGTAAATGAAATGGCTGTGCTCTATTTGATGCACATTCTCATTTTCCATGCTCAAATATTAATGTGCTGATGTGAAATCACTGTAAATAGTATCTTCTGATAATATACAGTGTATAGATTTTAGCGTGGAATGTGTATCAGTTATGTATTTTGTGATATTCAGATTTACCATATTCGACGTATTTAGCACCCCTCCCTAATAAGTGCCCCTATTTGATTCTTGTGTGGAGGGGGCAGTGGGTAGCCTAGTGGTTAAAGCGTTGGCTCGTCACGCCGAAGACCCTGGTTCGAATCCCCTCATAGGTACAATGTGTGAAGCCCATTTCTGGTGTCCCCTGCCATTACCAGGGTTTCTTAATAAGTGCTTTTTAAAAAAAAAATGACTGGCAGAGGACCTTGGGTGCAGAATACATCAAATATGGTAATGTGTAAGTTGCAGCATAGCTGCCAGGTAGTTATTGACCAGCCCAGAGAGTGGTATGTAGTTATATAGGTCTACTGCTAATATTAGTATAAATACCCAAGTTTGAGTTGAGAAATTCAGAATATATTGATTATAGTTATGATTAGTTATATAGTAGTTATAGGTTTGTAAAGGTGACTTCTACTCATTAATACCAGGGTGGGTGGGGTAGCCTAGTGGTTAAAGCGTTCACTCGTCACGCTGAAGATCAAGGTTTGATTCCCAACATGGGTACAATGTGTGAAGCCCATTTCTGGTGTCTCCGTAGGGCGCCAGGAACCAGGGATCATGGGTTCGAATCTCAGATTCAGTTTCTAGGCTTGTTAAGCGTCATATAAACCCCGAAAATAAACCCCCAAAACACCCAGTCAAAGTAATATTCCTTCTAAATACTCAAAGTATTACTTTTGTCAATTTATGGAGTGTATATTGGGCAAAAAACAATTTTTAAAAAACTTTTTCTTGTAAGTTTACATTTTTGGCCAATAAGAACATTAGGATCTATTTTTTGAGTGGGGAAAACTCATTTTTATTTTTATTCTTATTCTTGAAAAAATATGACAAGCGGATCTGTAAAACAAGAAATAAAATTGGTCTGTCCTTAAGACAACAAAACAACAACAAAAACAACATTGCACCTTTACCAGCTGTTTATACATACGTGAATGTATTAATGGGTAAATGTTCATTTATTTTATTTTATTCAGGAATTATTGATCAAATTA